AAAACACTTGAACACTTTTGGTGTGCACACACAAAATATTTTCCTTTGAGTGCTTAATATGCATACAGCATTTGCAACAAACATAACAATTTTTAAACAACCTATGTTCCATACTTATCCCAGGCAACACCAGGAGGTGCTGCTGTCTATCGAAAGGAGAGTTAAATGTCTCTGCAAGCAATATCTCACAAAATAAACTAACGCCATCCAGAAGGCCCTTTAAAGACTCCATATTTCTGTTTTTTCTTTTTACCTTAAATAAGAAAATTGGTACTTTAATGTCAAGATAATTGATATAATGTCTTTTACATATAAGTTATATAAACCAGGATATACACCATTAATTTATGATGTTTAGATGAAAGATAATGTAGCACCGCTTTGTTTACAAGCATAATGCAGTAGATTTTATTTATTTCACTCAGTGGTATATTTTTTTCCCTCTCCCATTCCAGCTTATTCAAAATTATGAGTGGAAGTAAAATGCAGCCAGCAACATGAGTACAGGCAATGACTGTTATATGATGGTAGGGACCTCAAAAGCAATCGCTATGATTGATTGTATATCGATATTAATAAATTTTGGGGGAAATAGGTTCCGTTCCTGAGCCCCTCAAGAGCCCAAACAAGTTTTATATCCTGTTACATGCATACAAAATGTAAAGAAAATAATTATTATTATAAGGTCAAAAACAGATAATAAAAATGGTTCATATATCCAATGATAGTTAGTGCAATCGTGGGAGAGGAGTGTTGGTAGTTGTGGTGAGCATTGGGGAGGATGGTGAGTGGTGGTGGTAGTGGGTGAATGTTATTGGTGATGGTGAGTGTTGGTGAGGACTCCATTCTTTTATATAAAGAAAATAGTAAGAAATGTTGATAGTGGAGTCAATAAAATCAATTGTAATTAATTTAGAAACACCTTGTTTTTAGCAAAATAATCCTGAATAGTTTATCTGAAAGTTTAGTTAAATAAACGTATTTCAAAAAGCAAAAATCTGCAATATATGATACAGGTGTGTGAGGCATGAATGGAGCCATGTGTCACAGCCAAGACAGTGAACTTTTGCACTCTTCACTGGGGAAATTTTTCCCAGTCTAAATGACGTATCTCGCATAGGAGCTGTACAGTATTTATTTACACAAACACCACTGTGCACATGCAATATAAGGTTAATACTATAATTAAATCAATGGATAGTACAGTACTATATTGTATATACTGTACTCGCCAGTAGATGCTGTTGTCTTGAGCCTAGAGTAGGCAGATACTGTCCACACAGCTGAATGTAATACATAACTGTAATCACATCTTTACACTTGCATTGAGAGATTGGGAGGTTTGTGGATCGTATTACTGACCTGAGGGCTGTGCATCCTTACCTGGGATGTTTTGCCTAACCTGACATATTTTTCAAGATTTTCAATAACTTTCAGTCAGTGATATCTCCGTTAGCCGGAACAGTTGGTGCATTGCACTTCCGGGAATGAGAGATTTCCTAGTAAAATAATAATAATAATAATAATAATAATTCATAGTAAATAAAATTTATAATAAAAAATAAAGCATTGAAAATAGAATAATAAATTAATAATTATAATAATAATAACAACACTGTAAAAATAATAATAATAAAGAAATACAAAAATGAAAAAAAAGACCAAAAGTGAGAAACAATATACTGTACAGGTATGTGAGTTGTGTTGTCAATAGTAAGAGAAACAATTGAGACCCTGCAATTGTGTGTAAATGAGGCAGAAAGTCAGATCAGCAACTTGGGACTTGGTCACAATTTTTGTGATGCCATGTAGCAGCAGTGTCTACCATTAGACAACACATTTTGCTTCCAATATCTTCCCAGGTGAAGATATTACTGAATTTACTTTTGGATATTGTTGTATTGTTCCAACAAATTTGCTATATAGCATTGTTCACTAGTTCTATTACAGTAATGCAATGAAGATACCACCAGCTCCTAAGAAGAAACTCTGCGTAATATTTGAGAGTTTGATCATTATTTACTTTCCACCAGTCTTTCCTCTGACCACTTTTATGTATATTTTGCTTTTATTTTTTTATTTTTATTTATTTTTATTTTTTTTATTTATTTTTTAATCTTCAAGCCCTTTTTCACTGTTACACAAGGTGGACAGTCAAGAAAAAGTATTAGTTTATACTGTATATCTTTTATTGTGATAGATGTCCTGCTATGGTATTTCTATACACAATATAGCCCCAGATATCTGTAAATAATGTACTGCAGATATCCCAGAAGCAAGTTAAAAACTGACTTGTGTACTTTTCACGTTATAACTGATATAACTTTATAGGGAGTTTTCAGTAAACTGTTTTAAATAATATTAAAATCTCCTTCACAGGTCACTGATGCATGCTGTGAAGCGTGGTATTATGGATAAAAAACCAATAGCTCTTTTCTGCCCTCCTCTTTACCACCTGGGGACACTCTACCAGAGGTCAGTATTGATAAGCTGTCATTATATGGAATGGAGATATTTATCCTGAATACTTCAAACAACTGTGATACTGTACAAGGTGTAGTGCCTGTAAACACTGTTACCCGTGTACATGTAATACCTGTAATTAGTTATCTGTATTTTTATCATGGTACATATATGGTTGTTTTCAAATAAAAAATGTAGTACTACAGGTATAGGCCCTCAAATCCAGGGCCTTTAAGACCAAGACCAAACTGGCTTGAATTTATAATTTCCTGGGTCCTAGGTCATCCATGTTACCCCAGGCCAATTGGTAGACTACATCAAGTTTTGTTTCCACACAAACTCATTGAACATTTTGTTTTTCTTTCTTATATAGTGAAGAAAACATCATTGTATGCATACTATGTAAAAAAATCATTGAACATAGTCTTTATACGTTGAGAGTTCCCTAGGTAGGCCTCTACATAGCACCATATCTTGGCTTTGTTTTCCAGGCTCCCAGCAGCTTCATGTGTGTTGAGACATTTACAAGAAGTAGAGAGCTGATGAATTCTGTGATTGAATGAATTGCCAAATAGTTTGATTATCCTTACTGTAAAGGTGAACCCCGATTCACATAGACGATGATTACATATAGTGGAAATACCCCGCAATTTTCACTGATACCCCTGAGATCCAACGATCGGCAGAACTGGAGTGGTGCAAATTCTGCCACCATAGAGCTCTGGGCACTGCCTCTGACCCATTCTTACCATCTTGCTCTTGTTTACACTTACCATGTGTCTGTCTGTGTTTTTTTTTTTCTGACAGTGTATTACTCAGTCATGCTTAACACCCCAGTGATAGTTACTCTTGTGCTGGGTAACTTGATGTGATGTGACAAGGCATAATAAGACATAATTAAAGTGGTGATGGATTAGCAAAGAGTGGTAGGGACTTGAACTTGCTACCCTAGACTCTCTACCATCCTCAACACAGGTAAATAACAGTCTCAATTTATGCTTTACATTGCTTATTTAAGGCTTATTATGCTTGCTTTATTTTCTTGCTTGACAGTGTGTACAACAACAGAGATATATCAAGGGTAGATGACAGATTTTGGTAGGTGGCCAGTCCCTAGCCTCCTAAATTTGTTATGTTCTTATGGGATTAATTGCTTCAATAACCATTGATTCGTGAACCAACGATTTTTCCCGTCCCTATATGCGTCGGTTATCAGGTTATGTCTGTATTTATATTCATTTTATTATTAAAATATTAATATTATGTTCATATAGCTTTTGAAATTGGCATTGTTCAGATTAAACCAAAGGTTCAAGGTAATTTATGCCAGATACTGCTTGTTGTCACATGAGATCTAAATTATGATATGGTCTTGGCACAGTGTTGGTTGATGTTTCTGCCACATGATTTTGAAGATTTGATGGTTCCTTGTCAGTAATATCAGCACTTTTCTGCTGCTTTCAAGAAAGCAGCAGAGGATAGAGTATGTAGTAGCAAATATTTTGTGAAATAAATAGCAAAACATAAAAAGTGTAAAAGCATATAGAAAATGAATAATAATGTACAGTTGCCACACAGGGATGAAGGAGAACTTTTGCTGGCAACTGTACCTACCTGTACTGTTTTGCATATATATTTCACAAAACATATTCTTCCACATACAGCACCTTGAATATTTAGTTAAATTTGACTAATATTAATATCAACTGCTATAGTTACAAAAACTAAATTTATTAATACCAACAGATATATTTCAGCCATTAATTATTAACAAACTCTTCTTACAAATATCTTGGCACACGAGAAGCTTCTGGGAGTCAGTCATAAACAAACCCAAGATCGTGCTGTGTGGGCCTACCTACACAACTCTCAACTTGTATACGCACAATGATGTTTTCTTTATTTTGTTATTTATGAAATAAACAAAAAGTTCAGCTGAGTTTGTGTGAGTGTGTATGGAAAACAAACTTAATGTAGCCAGTGAAGAAAATTTCACTAACTCAGGTAAGAGTATGACAGGTTTTCTGAGATCCAGTTTCAAGGGTCTGTACCTGTACAATTATTACTGGATTTTCTTTCTCTGTCTCTTTTAAGTTTTGTGAGCATGGTGTCGAGTGCATACATGAGTTGGTGTCTCAAGGTAGATACGAGGCTGCCATATCTGCTCTGGGACACATCACACCACTTTTCTTCTCCCAGCCTGAAGACATCATTACCAGTACCAGGTCTGACCTCTTAAGGCAGTGTGCATCAATTTATGCCTACACCATGTACTAGTCATATAATTGCATTCACATGTCCAATACAGGGGGTCCCAGACTTATGAACACCCAACACAAACGGGGTTAAACTTGAAATTTACAGTATTTTATTTACCTGATGACTTATTTTTTACTTTCATTTACTGTATTTTGTCATTCTATTTCTTTTTGTCTTAAATTACGGTAAGTGATTTTAGTTGTGAATAAGGTCTTAGGCTGTGATATACATTAAGTAGGATTTTAAAATTTTCTGTAAGCCACGGTATGCATATAGCATGTGTTCCGACTTCACGTACAAATCCGACTTAGAAAGTCCTCAGGAATGGAACCTGTTCATAACACGGGGACCTCCTATATTTTTTCCATTTCTATAGCCTCTCACCATACCCCATCTCCTACTCTCTCCTTACAGCTCTTTTGTAATCGCACCTAAGATAGTCATTATGAGACACTTATTTCACCAAACCTTATGGAAATTACCGTATTCATTTAACTCTAGGTCATCCTTAAATATTTTTCAACTCAATTTTTCTTGGTTGTCTTTTTGAGCATAGTCAGCTGAAAGGCTAATACTGTTCTGTACTTCCTATTGTAATCACCTTCATTCTCCACCTCATCACTTAACACCTTGGCATTTTCTACATATTGCTTCCTCTTTCCATACAAAATCACTCCTTCCATCATTCTTCATCCTCTCTTGTATCAGTCTCCAACCACACTCTCACCCTTCATTTAAGCCCCATACTTTCACAAACTAATTAATTCATTCATATATTATCTTTCCAGAGATCATTATTATCATATACATTTCAGGCAGCTATAAAAAAAATATTAATATTTGTATATATATTACATTACAACCTCGAGAATTCTGAAATCTGAAATCTTGAACCTACAGTTATCATAAAATTTACTTAAGATTCATACTATATCAGATGTCTGGAAAATCTACAGAAATTCAAGTAGGAGTTTGAAGGGTAATTCACAGAGTTGCTATTAATATGGTAGTTGTCATTTAAAGGTTAGCGGTGAACAGACATCTATCAATGGTGAGACTGCTGAAAAATACATCCATGCATAAATATAAACTAGCAGTGTGATGTGAAACGCTGTTAAGCCTCATTCTCTGAAAGTGAAAAATTATGCATGCGAAATAAAGCTAATACAATTAATCCCTCGTTAATTCGGACTAATAGGGAGGGTGTCCGTTTAGCCGATTGTCCAATTAACCGATTTAGTGGTTAATATTGCATTATATTTCAAAGTCATTGTTTTCAGTCACGATTTATCCCCTTTCACTGTTTCGTCGTAATTTCAGCAAAATTATTACATTCCGTGAATGTATTATATCAAGCACAGTATGAATAGAATACCATTGTAATATAACAGTATTTTAACGAAAACTACTAAAAACGGTAACATCTCAAGAACATCGGAAGCTTAGGTAAAGTCTTTTGTTTTTGTCATGTATTTTATCCTATTTTACATTAAAATACATCACGTTTCAGCAAACTACTATTTATTTCCGAGAATATATTTATTCAGGCACAGTTAAGGTAAAATATACATGTGGTGTAACAGTTTTTTAACTGAAAACGATTCAGAAAAACATGTGTACCGTGTAGCTGATACTCAACAGCTGGTGGTGCGTCATGTCGTTGTAAACAATAGGAGGTTGAAGTAGATTACGGGTATTATATTAAGTGTGAAATATCAAAAAGGTTTTATTACGGTATTTTTTGTAGATCAATGAGAACTGTGATACGTATATGATATGATAAGTTAGCCTGTGCTAAGAACTTCAACATAGACTACTGAAAACACTTTGTAGGTAATTTAACCTATTGTAGTTGGTGAGCTTCATTTGCTGAAGGAACTGCACAACTTTCATTACTAATTGGTACAAATTTACGTTTCCATTGTTTACTGGCAGTAAATGGTAAATATTTTTCATGTCTGAAGCTAAAGTTGCATCCCCCACTAGTGGTGGAGATGTTACATTTGACCAAAAAGACGCTGGTGTTTTATCAGCAGTGGGTGGACCAGCATTTTAGCTTTAGGTCTGCGTAGAGTATCAACAAATCTTAAAAAAAAAAAAAAAAAAGTTCAGATTTTGTCGAATTCTCCAATCCGGATTAAAGGGTCGAATTAGCAGTGCGACTGTAAATGGATACGGATCATCCAGGAAATATGTATTCACTAGTTTACCTCAAATTTTGTACCTGAGTTCATGTTCACTGCTATAAGGTGGAGCTGCCAAAGAACTGTATTGTACTTATTTTAGATAACTGCTCTGACATTTGGAACAATCATTAATCCAGAAAGGGCTTTGTTCTATGCTTTCTGGATTCTCGAGGTTGTGCTGTGTTGCTAAAATTATAATTATTTACTCTTGTACTAAAAAATTTCTTTAAACTGCCTTTAAATCCATAGTGTGAGGCTTAGGAATAACCTTTATCTCCTGTTCCTGATACAATAGAAAGTATGAACCTCCATATGTTTTGTTTGAGATATGTATGGTGGAATTAATTCACATTGTTGATTTGTCTATGAAATTTTCTACATTTTGATTTTCCTGCAGTTTCATCTCAAAATTTGCTTAATGTTTATTAATTACGTTTGACTTGCACCAATAACATAATTTTATATATTTACAAGTCTTGTACTGTATGTGATCCATCTCTTATGTTGTGATCCTTCCCCTTCACCAGTCTCATCCATTTTATGATACACTACAGTATACAGTAAACCCTGCCATTTGCAGTTTTACAGTTCGCAATTTTTGATTATTTGCGATTCATTCCTAAAAATAAAAGTAATAAAATAGAAAAAATATTTGTTTTGAGATACAAATAAATTATTTCTGTATTACATAAACAGTTCCTTCCTTTCTTATAATCATCCTCAGTGACACCATTACAAAATATATATACAAAATTTATTATTTTATGATAATATTTCATTAATCTGGCACCAAAGGAACCTAAAGAATATGGGAATTTTAGTAAAATGCATACTGTTCTTATAAAGGGGTGGGAAATTCCATTGGGTTCAGCTCAACCACCCGCCCTACCTTCACAAATACATATTTTAATTCCTTTGCTCTTCATTTTTCTTATTTTATGCTTACTGTATAGTATATTGTATGATTTCATGGTTTATTTATGCCTTTCACCACTGTCGTGTATTTAAAAAGAAAAACATACTGAAATACCATTTATGGTTGTGTTTATGGGTGACTCTCACATACAATATGATGGCTGCTAATACTATTCACAGGGTCCGTGGCACCTAACCCCACAAATAGCATTTTCTTGAGGACTCCTTTACTCACTGGTATATTCCATATCCTTTTTATCCCTATATTAGTTTTCATAATTCCCATAGTACTTAATGATTTATCTATATTTCTGAAGACATGTTACTAATATCAGTGTCTCTTCAGGTTTATGCTTGCCATACAAAAGTGTTTGACTGCAGACCAGACATATATAACTATGGCAAAGAGTCTTGTGGCCTCCAATTTCCCAGGCAAGATTCTCAGCACTTGCTGCCATGATTGTATATCACATCAGAAATTACTCAAGGTATGCTTGTGATATATAATGTACAGTATATATGAGGTAATGTCTGGTCTCTAAACAGGGGCGTAAGTGCCAAATGTGCAAATTAGAGGCAGGTCTCATTTTCTATTTTCTATTTTTTGTCGATTGGTATACAGTGAAACCTCGTTAATCTGTATGCAGATGATCCAGATGTTGCTTAATCCATATCACATGGTGAGCTATGTGTCGATTCTGGGCCTTCTACTTCTTTCCACCTTGGTTCTAGACATAGTGGTGTGTCAGATCTCAGTGCTGTTACTGCACTTTTCCGAACCTCCTCCTCAGATTTTACAATCTGATGTTTGTGATCAAGAACTCTAAGTGTTTAAGTGTAAATCTTGAGATATGACTCAAAATTAGTGTGCAGTGTAAATAATTAGTAATACAGTACTGTAGTTTGTGATAGTATTAAATCAACTGCCCCACACTACTGTACTTACCTTATCTGACTCTCCACTACCTTTAGGGAGCCCTTTAGAATTAAAGATAAGGTTGTATTTAAATACACAATCATCTTTATGTATTTGTGTTTTACGGGTTAATATTGTTTGTTTCATTACATCTGTCAATTTGCCATATTTTTACTATGTAGTAAGATTTTATGCTTTGAAATTTGCAATTAATTTGAATTAATGAGGTTTCATTGTATGCCTTATACCCATAGCTTACTCCTAAGTCTGGAGAGCTATTTGAAAAAAATTCAAGTTCTCACAGGGCTACAAATCCTTGAAAATTTTTTATATCTCAAAATGTCAGTCTAAACTACACAGTCAGATGGACAGATTTTATTGCACATCCCTGGAATGTTTCCGGGTGCTGGGGAAAGATTCTGAAAATCTTGACTACGATCTTGCATGGAGAGACACATCACACGGGTATTTATTTACGAACACTAGCTGTATACGCATAACATATTGTAAATAAAACAAAATAATGTATTCTACTACTGTATTGTACGATAGTATACTCTACTCACCAGCAGATGCCGTTGCCTTTGTTTTTTGTGATGCAGGCAGGCCAAATGTTGATATGATGATATAGGATGGCCTACTTTGTCCTGTACCAATTATGTGGCAGCTGATCATATACTGTTGCTCTCTCTCCATGAAGCAGAGAGGCAAACAAGAGTGACAAATGTCTTCCATCGCGACAAAGTGTTGGTGTGGTGATGACCAGGCATGTAGTAGTGTTGATGGACAAGGTGATGAAGAGGCATGTGTTCTGGTAAAGGGGAGGAGCAGAGGATGTCAGTAACACAAAATTCAGGAGGCCATCTAGGTATGTCCTCACCCTCTGAGACTGGTGGTGGTACTTTCCTCTAGTTTTCCTCTCTGTCGTCCTTATCCTCCTCCTGTCCTTCTCAGAGGATCTGGATGAGACACCTTTGTATATTTCCTCCTGTGAGGCACCATAGCCAGGATTGTTGGCATCCACCTGCAGCCACTTCACATCCTCCACAGCAATGTTCACCATTGTCATAGAAAAGTGTAGGCCTCCCACTGAAGCCTCAAAGTCTGCATCCCCTGCAGTAATACTATGCAAGTAACGCAACCACCACAATTCTGAGCCTTTCACATATTCATCTGTGTGTCATCTCCATGATCTTGTCCTTTTCAGGTTGCACCTTTTGGATGTTGTAGTCTTGATGTTCTTCTTGTCCCTGTTCTCCTCTTGGCACTGGTTCCACCACCAGAATGTCATTTATGAGGATGCACCTGTGTAGCTTACAGGCTAGAATGATGCCCTGAGGGTAAGCAGGCACATTGTTAGGATGAGCAAAGCTTTGACCTCTCGCCTAGGAAATGTAATTGTCTGACAGCATGCCTAAATGAATACATGGTGGAACCAGCCTTCAAATATTTCCTGTGAACCAGGCTTTTTGTTGCCACACCAGGACACAGGAAGGCTATCCATTGAATTGTGCAGCACTCTTGACCTCTATGTATTTCCCACCATTATTGGTGTAATTTTGTGGAAGCTTAAGATTAAGACCAGAACAGCACTGACAGTTGCTGCTCGTGGCCTTGGAGTCCAGGATGTTGGAATGCCACAGTGTTGTTTCAGAGGACTTCAACAGAAATCTGTCTCAACCACACTGTGTATATACATTTTGTGATTTTTGATGTCATCGTTATGGATGAGTTGTTACAAGCACTAGCACTCTTACCAGCCACTCACTTGATCCCATGCTGCTAAAACTTGTAGTAGTCAAACAGCTCTATGGAAATGGGCATATCCAGCAGTGTAGTAGGCTGAGTGGCATCATGGAGCTCAATGGTGAATAGGAACACCATGGCTCAATGCTGCTTGTACTGTACCAGTTATATATTTTTCAGCTCTACTTTGTCATCATATTATTTTGGTGATATGAATATGGTGAGGCTACTTTCCTCACCTGCACCCAGTATAACTTTCTGTTCTTGCCTCTGAACTTTTTGCTTTGGTATGTTTTACATCGTGGATGGTTGATATTCTCCATTCCTGCATCAAACACTTTCACCTACATTTTTTCTCAAGTTTATTGAGAAAGTCCAATTTCTCTGAAAGGCAGTCTTTTTCATAAGGCCTCTTCCTCAACCCTTGGTGCCCTGGGTTTTCTGTATCTCTCAACATTGTACATGTACAACAAATTACGAAAGTGTATACAAAAACACTACATGGGGTACACAACCACTTCACTCTGCTATGCTCGGGTACTGTATGTACGTGTAGCTTAATTAACAATGATAAATTATAAAGTATACTGTACACGTAATCACTGTTTATTTCTTATACTGCTTTAATACTGTATTCTGACTGTGTCTTGGTAGAGTAATGTACAGTACATACTGCACAATGCAAATTTATGCAAAAACAACAGCGAGCGTTTGAACAACCTTTGTACAATGGTCATGCAACTATGAACCAAGCTGATAAGCATCAGCCTATCAAAGGCATCCTATGCAATCACATGACAGCATTTGCCAGTCGAGGCCAAGCTTGCAGCCCAAGTTACCCAATCTGGTTAGCCACGATCTGAAACATGCATATCAGAGCATGATGAATCTTTTGGAAGTCCCAGAAATTTTTTCTCATGCTTGTATTTTATCTAAATGTGTGTATTCCATCCTGAGAAACTCATTCTATACCTGAATGGAGAGATTATTCAGAAAATGCATGATCTTCAGAAACATGTTTACATTCCTGGAACGGGTATTTCATGAATTTCCCGGAAGGCCTTTAGATCCAATCCAGCTAGAGAGTTCTCTTAATGCATCAATATTTATTAATTTGCATTTGGAGGAATTTATTGTTTACATATTACTTTGAGGTCAGTTTGGAAATAATTAGCTTTGTACTCTTGATGTTCACCATGACCAAGGTACACACCCTTTTAATGAATTAAGTATCATATTTTCAGGTACAATCTTTCATCTGTGGATCTGCAGTTCGATTTGGCTGCAGCTTTATATCCAGAGTGTGGAGTACATGATGCTCTTGTACTTTTTTTACTGGATACCATTTGTCAACAGTCATCTCATACCCGGCTTTGTTGGCAAGAAGTTATAAGAGGATTCAAGTCATGAAAGTAATTCATGAGATTTCAAGTATTATTTTATATAAAGTCCTTTAGTAAAGGGAGACAACACTGGAACTTATTTTTTAAGTTAAAAATAATTCTCCTGGAAGGAAAGACTTGGTAAACTTTTTGTGTCAACGGTCCATACATCCCTGCATCAACTTCTTCATAAAAAGACTAACTCAAGAACTGCTGAGTAGTGTTTTAAATCCACCATCAGATATTTGAGTCTTATACTTTATTCTTTTTTTATTTAGACAGGTAATTCAAGTTGATATTGAGCAGTATCATATTTTCAATCTCATGCACTGCTGTTATTTTCTGGTACAGTAGTGTATATGAGAGACATAATTCAAATTAGCAAATTAATCTTATTATTTTGTTTGGTTATCTACCAGTATATAAAAATTGTGTGTGTGTAAAGCATGTAATACACATAAGCTTGAAAGTATTGTTTCCTCAAAAAAAAATTACATTTTGATTTGGGGACATTTTATTAGAGAAACTTAACTCCCATTTATATAATGTAGTCAAGAAATAATGGCTTCAATTTATGAAAGGTTTCTCAAGAATGTATCTGTTTTATAATCGAATCACTCCTATATATAGTGTTGTAAATTAAGAACTTTTGAAGTTAGAAAATCTCCCATTATTATAAGAGGAAATTTCTACACTTTTCATTGTAATCTTATCACATATATAGTGACAGTCAAGTTTTAATTCTCCCACTCCAAAAAAAATATGATATATAAAAGAGTTCCATCCAACTGTCCACAGTACTTTCAAGAATATAAATCAAAATCACAACAATATAGAGGTTTCACGTAAAATTCTGTGTATTGTCAATAAATGATACGTCTAAGTTACAATATTATTTCAGCAGACCAGCAGGAAATGAAGATGACTTTGATTTTTTTTTTTTTTATTCTTAATTGTTGGGCATTTTGTTTAATTTCTGCATGGAAGTAGGTCTTTTTGATTACGTAGGACAGTACTAGCACTCGTAGAATTGTATGGCAGTGATCCATATTTTTTAGATTTCTATACAGTATTTTATCCAGAAACTTGACCTTAATTTACTAAAATTTGAAATTTTTTTGACTTATCATAATTCTTGATTAGAACCTTGATTATCATTCACTCACACTATTAGTGGATCTTTGCCAATTTGTAGAGAAATTCATATGCAGTACAGTACTCTCAAGACTAATTATGGCGTCAGCTGTTACATATGTAATCATTACAGTACAATACACGCAGGAAAATCATTTGCAAATCCAGCTCATAATCTCCTCCCCGACTTCATTTAATTCCACTCGACTTACGACTAATTCCGCACTTCATTTAATTTTGCCTCAGTCGTAGACTCAAAAATTTTTGTCAAATTACGTGTTATCGTAGTCTCAACTTCAGTAC